TAGGTAAGAACAAGAAATGAAATAACATGTGCAAAAGCTGCTTTAGAAATTACCAAGTACTGCTAAAAGTGATCATCTGTGGACTTTTATCTGAATGCCAATCCTAGAAGACTATCAATGAAATTTTCAAAGTAGAGAAAAACATCCAATTTAGTACACTGGAGGTTTAAAAGAAGACACAATTTTTTTTCGTTACCTAAAAGCAATTACTTAATGGTTAAAACAACCCATTCAAAAAATAGTTTAAATTTTATTGCTTTTGTTTAGACAATCAGATGGCAAAAAAATCTGGCCCTGTAATAATGTAAAATACATAATAATAAATAATAAAAATAAAATAAATAATGTAAAAAACAAATGTTGCGATGCAAAATAATTTAATCACATGACAACTGCTAGTCATAACCATGTGGAACGTTATCAATAATGACAACCAGCTTTTAACCAGAAACAGCTCATTAGATTTTTGAATTTAAGACTGATTTTGCTTACATTAGCAATCTTTTAAATCAATTTCAAAAAAAATTGGAGTTATTTCTCATATGAGTAATTTACTCATACTCTGAATAAAATGACATGTTAGCAAATCCAATTTATGCTGGCATCTAAAAGATCCAAATCACCTCAACGCAAAGCAAGGAACATTAAGTTCATGCTATTATTTCTGTAAGATTCATAATTCCTGCAAGTAAATCATAGTATTTTTGCTAAACTACTTGCAAATAATTATGATAAAGCCAGATTTATGACACCTCCATTTGTGAAAAGAGGTCTGAGAGAGGCAGATGCTTTATGTGGAAGCCTTGCCAATAGACTCATACAACTTACGGTGAATTGTAGTGGCTCAATCCCTAACAGTAACTGATAAATGAATGACAAAAGATCTTTCTCTTTTGTGATATTTTGCATATCAACATGAGCTTCTAGAATTCTGCTTCCAGACTGGTATTTCAGAGGAACTAAGGTTGGTTCCAATAGATATCCAACTCCTTAAATATCAAATACTACATGTGGATAACACTTGCTATTATCACTTAGATAGCTACGTTGTCCCTTGCCTTTTTTTTTTCTTCTTCTAATAGGTTCTATTTCTTGACCCATGTCTTCAGCCCTGCTTTTTACTAGTTATTTTGGTATTGGAATTTTCTCCTGAGGCTCACTTTGAATTACCATCCATAGATCTCAGCCTCTTGAATAGCTAGGATTATAGGTGTGAGAGAACAGTACTTAACTTCCAGGGTCTTTTATAACAAAGGAAGCAGGACCCAGGCTCACTGGCTGTACTGGCAAAGAGCATCAACAAAAGATTAAATGATCTTCTTTTTGCTGTGTACATTCTTATATTTACCATCTTTTATAGTAAATAACGCCAGATTTTCCCCCTTTACACATTTGGAAATGGATTTATTTAAATGAGTAGCCTGACTTAAAGAAAAATATTGTGTGGAATTACATCAGCAAATAATCAAGCTAGAACCTGATTAACATTGGGAAAAGATGTTTGAGCCACATGTTGGTACTTGGACTTTGTTCAGAGGTTCAGCTGACTATAAAGTTAACAAGTAAATTAACATAAATAGGTAAAATACTATAAAATAACATAAAATACTATAAAATAACATAAAAAGGTAAAATACTAATGGCTGACATTTGAGAAGGGTTTCAATTAAGAATAGAGACTGTAAATGTGGACTTGTCCAGGCTGAATTAACATCTCTCACCTCTTGGTCTGCCTGTATGAGAGAGGAAGAAAGTTATGGAACTTTTTATGAGTAAATGCAGTGAAGCAGCAAGGCACAGAACAGCACAAGTAGTAGCTAGAATTACAGGCATGAGTCAGTGATGCCTGTATATTTATAAATCTGAAAGCTGCAGCAAGAAACACCTTGCTTTTAAAAACACTGAGTAAATGAAGAGAAAAATCAGACATGCTGGAATATTTCAAAACAAAGAAAACATGTTATTGCTATCTAATTTCCAAGAAGAAAAGCAAACTATATTGCAAAAACAATCAGACTATGAAACCTGGAAATACCAAAATGATACTACAACCACTCACTATCACTAATCAAATGGAAATCTTGGTTAATCATCAACTCCCCAAAAGGCAGCTTGCTAGGAAAAACAAAACAAACAAAAAAACTAAGGCCCTTTATTTCTCTACATAGGTTGCTCACCAATTCAAAATTTTTCCACTAACATTAAATAATTTACAGGCCTTGTTGCCACTTCAGTGCTGTTCTTTCTTATTCTGGAAGTGGTAGTATTAAAGGAACTGCCTGAATGTTAAAGGAACTGCTTATTTGTTCATAAAAGTCACAGGTGAATAGCAACAGGTATTCACAGAGTGACCCCATATTTTCCTTAATTTCATCAGAAAATAAGAAAACACAATCCCTCCCTTGGAAAGTAGAATGCTTCCTAATACAGTCCCAAACTTACAATAGTTCAACTTGACAATATTTTGGCTTTATGGAGTTATGAAAGCAATATGCATTTGGAAGACATAGCACTTGGAAAACTATCAATATGCCATAGGATCCTCTCTCATGATGAGATGTGAGCAATGGTAGTGTGGCAACTCCTATTCAGGAGTGTTAAGGATGGTGTTGCTAATTTATGATGCTAGATTGGTTAGAGGAATTAAAGGCATTTCTATATCCAGTAATTTAATTCATAATGTGATTCATTTTCAGTCAAGAAGCATGTGAGCATTTCTAAAAATCAACATTTTTTGTTTTTACTGTTAAAAAAAGAAAATGCAAGAATTACCCTTCTTGGATTTCATCAAATAAGAGAGAAAAATTTCCAAAAATGTCACAGCTCCTGTCTGTGAAAGGCAGGAGACGATGAGAGCACTGAGAATGGTTCTCAACCTTGTGCGCATCTCTTTCCCTTGGCAGTATTCCAGGGCTACCATGAAGTGACCCATATGCTGCAGGCAGTCATGCTCCCTTCAACATCATCACCAATTTACCTCTAAAACCCTTAGAAACCCACTAGCACTCTCTTTCACTGCAGCCTTAGAAAGGGACAGCCATGCTTCCCTCTTCTGGAGCACTTGACGTTCATCTTTCAGAACTCTACTATCTGACATCTTTAATACTTTCCTTGCCACTAGAGCAACTTCAGCATCTTTCCCAGTGGCTTTGGAAAGTTACACTGTGCTAGATTAACAGAAAAGGTAGACATGAGATTGTAAGATATTTTCTTCAGAGACACTGACATGCTAAGAAGGAGATGGAGGAAGATCAAAAACAAATGTTAGCTTAGCACTGGTGGCTCACACCTGTAATCTTAGCTACTCAGTAGGTTGAGATCTTAAGGGTAGAGGTTCAAAGCCAGCCCAAGCAGAAAAATTCATGACTTTTATTTCCAATTAACCAGCAAAAGGCCAGAAATGGAGGTACAACTCAAGTGGCAGAGCACCAGCTTTGAGCTGGCCCTGAGTTAAAGCCTAGTAGCAACACAAAACAAATAGATGAGCAGAAATAAGAAGCCCTGAAAAAAAGTGCACTGTCACCACCGAGTGAAGTACTCTGAAAAGAGGTGACCAAGAGGATCTCCTGGAGGAGCTAACACCTTTAAGCATTTCTTTTCCTATTTCCTCCCAATCCAACTCTACCTCTCACTTCTCTGAAGCAGCATTGGATCATATTACTCTGATTCTGCAAATCTGCAACAGCTCTTCACTGGCACACATGGAGGCCAGGGAACTCTTATGAGCAGTGAGGCCATGTAGCCAAAACCCAGTCTCTCTATGAACACAACTCATTCACATGTGTAATACATCAGCTCTGGCCAATAGCGGGACTGTGCAGCACATTCCAGACAGCCTGGAATTTCTTGCCTCTGAGCTTACTCATGTCACTCTATTGCCAGCCTAGACCCACCAAATATGGATGTACAGTACACAATCTGTGTGGCCATATGTGGCTGCCCTGTCTATTTCCATCAAAACCCTTCCAATTATAGGGGAGTACATATCATTAAAATATTTTCTGCATTTTTTCCACAATGGACAGGTATCTCAGGTTTAAAAACATAGAAAAAAATTGTACTAAAAAACCCTAACTCAACTCTACTTTCCAAATCCTAATACGAAGGGTATGTTGTCTAAGAAGCTTTCTCTGAGTTATTCACTCAGAGGTATTCATGTTCCACCTTATTTTTAAGGGCTTGGACTGTTTTTAACTTTAGATACACATCTTTCTGTCTCTCATATTTATTATATACCAGGCTTTATATTAGTGGCTTCATATAGGTAATTTCAATTAGTCCCCACCAAATCTGTGATTCTTATATTATCCCTGCACTACAAAAAAGAGCCTATGGTTCTTGTAGGCTTTAGTCCATCTTCACACTCAACTCCAAATATTTGGCAACTGACTCATTTCCCTTTCCAATGTCAGCTTCTGAGTCTCAGCAGACAGTACATTATTTACCTTTGTACTACTGACCCCCACAATCTTATCCAGCAGCAGGAACTCAAAACCATTTTATGCTTAAGTATAACATACATTCCTTGCAATCAATATTGGGATATGTTTATGATGGTGTGGCTCATACCAATCTTAACAGTAAGTCCTAAAAATTCTTGCTTTAAAAGCTATCTCTAAGCTATGTGACAGTGGCTCACGCCTGTAATCCTAGCTACTCAAGTGGCTGAGATCTGAGGATTTGCGGTTCAAAGCCAGGAAAGTCCCTGAAGACTCTTATCTCCAACAAACCACTAGAAAACTGCAAGTGGCGCTGTGGCTCAAGCAGTAGAGCACTCGCCTTGAGCTGAAGAGCGCAGGGACAGCGCCCAAACCCAGAGTTCAAACCCCACGACTGAACAAAACAAAACAAACAAAAAAAATCAGACAGTACCAACATTTGAGAAGGTATTAACCCAGTCTAGGAATTCTCTCCCAATGAGGGAGAGATACTATGGCCTTTGCTTTAGTTCTGCTTTATTTACTTTTTAATAATGATTATTTAAACACTTAAACACTTACCATAATGTGACTGAAATGCTTGTGGTTTGACAACCTGATTACAGTCGTTACACACCACCAAATAGAAATCATCATGGGCTGGACAAAGACCAAATATTGGCATGTCTGCAACAAAGAAACAGAGCATCAATCACTCATCTGGATATGACTGCTGTGAAATAATTTGGAAGAGTAATACTTTCTAAATGGGCCTCCTTATCATAAAATGCACAAGGACAAAGGGTACACTGGTTTAAAAGTAACCTATGAACATACCATGACCAAAAAAGAAATCAAACCAGGCTTTAGACTTTATAGGTCTAAAAATATGCAAAATTGTTACAAGGTGTAATAGATACACCTATTAGAATGAAAACAATGAATATATTCATGCAATAGAACAATTTTAGATAAACTCTACCAAAAGTTGCCAGAAAGTACTTGGTAATTCACAAAACTATACTGACAATGGTTTTTGTTATTTAATTATACATTCTATTTCAGTTATCATATCTCTGAGTTCTACAACCCAGTTAAGAAAGTGAGGCAGAGATAGCACTGAAGAGTATAATTGCTGCTTTTGGCAGCATGAAATACAAAGGAAAAATATCATTATTAAATTTTAGGCCACAACAACCAACCTCTAGTCTTTCTGCTAAATGAAGACACCAGACATAATGCCTTCAGTACAAACAGCATTTCACATACTAACAGCAATCTGGTCTCCAGAATAAGCCAAGAGACAAGATTATTTTGTTTTCAGAATAACAAATCAATTTAAAATGCAAAAATGAAGAAAAACTATCTGCATATAAATGAAAATTCAAAGTAACTTCATACTTTGTAAATATGTTTAAATAAATGTCGCAACCATAAAATAATTCAACAAAGTATTTCAAAATTAGTGATTTCAAACAGGTATTGTATATAATATGCACAATTAAGAATATCTGCAATACACTGATAGTACAATTTTCTCCCTCAGTACTAGTAACTGAACTTAGGGACTCAGGCTTGCTAGACAGGTACTCTCCCACTTGAGACATGCCTCCAGTTTCTTTTGTCTTGGTTATTTTCAAGGTAGAATCTCACTTTATGCCCAGGAAGCCTGGGCTTTTTTCCTTCTACTTAGCTTCTTCCACTGAGCTACTGGCCTCCCCAATATGTGCAATAAAAGGCAGGCACCATCATGACAGCCACTGGTACTTCTTTGTTGGCCTCAAACCTCATTCTCTCAATGTCTGTCTTCCAACTATATAGGATTACAGCCTTGAGCCACTAAGCCAGGCTAGGTATCACACCATTAATGCAGGAAAGTATTTTAGAAGACTAAACTCTATGTTTAAAAGGTGGCCATATAGCTCAATGGTAGAATACTTGTTAAGCATGTGCAAGTCCATGGTTTTAATCTCTAGTACTGGCAAATAAACAAGTATAAGGAAAAGGGCCCAAATAACTGATTTTTATTTTCATTCTTTCACATAGATTTAATTTCCCTTTCTCTAGCATTCATGATGTTGGTGATTTTAAAGGGAGAAAGAAACGATCCAAGGAGATGGCTTATGAAGAGAATCTTTAAAAAATATCAAATGATTGATCTAACATACAAAGCTACAGTTTAGTCTGTCTTGCGCAGTTTCTGTGGCACTGAATTACAGATAGTTAACTATAGATATGAACTATTCCAAGGTTCTACATGACTCGAACACAACTGCAGCATTGAGTAGTTTCTATATGCTATTTATCTAATTTTAGCTTCCCAACTACCTACAGAGATACCATCTTATCATCATTATACCTAAAACGACAAGAACGCCTGCCCCCAGTCTATGGTCAACAGCTGGGACCCGACTCTTACAATAATGGCTTAAAATCAGAGGAATGGTTTCTAGACATTCATCCAGATCCCAACACCAGTAAATTACAATATCCAGAGGCTAAACACCCCTAATTGTGTAATTTGAATAGATAATATCAAAAGCTCCCAGTAGATTGCTGATTTCTCTAAACTTATTTAACAAAAATAAGTAAAAGCCAAACAAAGTGCTATTTTCCTTGAAAACATAACCACATTGAGCTAAGTTAGTACATGTGGGGGAAAGGAAAAGGTTATATTCCATGTAATGACATACATAAGCCATTTTCCCTGACTTTCTTGAAATTGTATTTCATACTATTAAAACTTAAAAGCAGTTTAGCCTAAATTCCATTACAAACATGGTGCTAAATGTTCTATAGGACTATTAACTATGAAAATTCATATTACAAAGGTGACACAATTTTTGTAACTTACAGTTTAAAAATATCAAATGGTTTCATTAATGAAATCAAGCCAATTAGTTTGATTAATTAAATAGGAGTTAACCTGTGTTAGTCAAGTTAGTTTTAATCTGTGATAGTTTTTCTTACAATGTTCAACGATAATCCTATTTAAAATATCCTCTGCCAGATACTTGTAGAAGCTAGATCCATTCCCCTTTAAAAACAAGATTTGAGAGTGAAAAGACAGGTAGAGTGAAGACATAGGTTGAATGTAGCTTAGTGGAACATTTGACTAGCATGCATGAAGACCTGTATCACTCACAAAACCAACAGATTTTTTTAAGTAATAAGGATATGAGCTTGTCACAATGATGTTTATGTAGAAAGAGTTCTGTTTTGTACTAGTTCTTTTTATCTTTCTATAAGGGGTTATTCTTAAGGAACCAAAAATCTACATTTATGCAAAAGCAGAAAATCCTGATAAGGAAAGTAATAAGAAGAATCACTACTATGTCCCAGTTCCTGTGCTAAGCACTTTTCATATAGCTATCCTGTTTCTTCTTCTTTTGCTATCAGTAACAGATTTAATATTACTAGTAACATGTTAACTGTATTAACACACTAATTAATGTGATTCACTGTTATTTTCCATACACACATATATCATGCATTTATCACACGTATTTGCCCTTCTTGGTCTCTTTTTGTACTTTTCAATCCATTTATTTCTAACCGTAACTCTAAAATATCATAACTCTAAAATATGTTATTTACATGAACTTGTCTACTCAGCAGGAAAGCAGCATAATCAGAACTCAAGTTTGCAGTCATTAACCTCTCATTAGCATATTGCATATTCCTAAAAGGTTGAATATATGTGCAACACACACACACAAAATAGGGCATACTTAAATCCAGTTCATGCTACTCTATGAAACAAGAGTTGTTATAACAAAAACCTAAAGCAACTGTAACTTTAGCTTTCAAAATTCTTTATTTTCAGACATTCATATTTGGAGTAAGCTAAAAGATACAAAATAATTCAAATAAAATGTCCTCTTCAGAAGTTCTATATCCTTTTTCTGTACTGGAACATTCCAGAGGCCTTAGCAACAGGAACAGTGTGGAATGTTGTAGCAACAAAAAGAAATAAAATAATCTGTGTGAGAGCAACAAAAAGAAATAAAATAATCTGTTTCTGAACATTTTTAAAGCAATTTGCAATCAGCCCATCCAAAAATTCACATATGATTCTTGCCCAAATGTAGAGATAAGTTTGTCTTAGAACAGAAAAAAGTACTGGGCTAATAAAAATAAAGTCATTATTAAATTTACAAGCTTACAAAATACACTTTAAATATGTAAATGAAACCACTGTACTTGAGTTCATGGATTTTGAGCTAATTTGAAAGAACGAAAATTATTGTTCTGTAAGCCCTACGTTATTTTCAGGATCTGGGTCACCTCCATGTTCTAATGAATATGTGAGTGGGCTAGCCCCTACATCTAAGTCCCCAGCCAGCATACTGGGAAGGGATGGGTTTAAGCACATGGATACATGAGCAAATACATGTAGGACTTCACAGTCCCACTGAAACCAGATCTCCAACAACAATGGACATATTTAATGCTGATATTGCTATATCCACTTTGAACACTCTACTTAACAATTGAACTTGAAGGTTGTAGAAAAAGCATTTAACCTTTGCAATATTCTGAAAGTTTCCTTTCCCCCACTTATCTATAACTTCCTCATGTAAATCATGTCTATCTTTCTGTCTTCAGTCCAAGCTGACTATTCGCAAGCTCTGTCTATTCACATGTCCAAGTGCCTATTAGACATCACCATCTGGATATGTTATAAATATCTCAAATGGAACAAATATGTCCAATAGAACTTCATTGTTGATGCTGCCCTATTCCTTGTTCCCAGTAACCTTTCCCCTTTTTAGTAAATGATTTTATTCATCATCCATCAATGGCTAAAATAAAAAACCCAGGTGTCATCTAACTCCTCTGTCCATCACTTCCAGGCCATCTGCAGGTCCAGTCAGCTCTATTTAAAAGCCTGTCTATATCTCTTAACTGCCACAGCCACTGTTGTAGGACCTGCCACCAGCACTTTTCCAATAGATGAGGGATTTCACTAAGCAGCCATAGCAATTCTTTAAAAATTCTCCCCTGATCAAGTCAATGCTGTTTAAGTCTCTGATAGCCTCACCAGTGACATTTATGAAGAAAATTTCAATCCTTAGAACAGAACCCAGGATGAAATTCCACTTGCACCTCCCTCTCTCCATGATTCACTCTGCTTTGAGTTAGTACTGACCACCTTACACCCCACAAAATGCAGACAGCTCTTTCTCAGCTGGGTTCTGCCCCTCTTCTCCATCAGATGCCTGATACATTCTTACACATCAAGTCTCAGTTCAGCTGTCATATTTTTAAAAGGCCACTTCCTACCTCTCCCTATTAGTCACTCAAGCACTTTAAGCCAACTGGCTAAGCATGTAGGTCACTCACTCTGAATCCTGGTTCCTTCACTCAAGACAGTAGTTCTATAACATCTTTGAACTTCCAACAATAACGATTATAGTGCCTCCTTTACTCAATATTCCAAAAAGTAGAAAAATTCAGAGACTGAATACAAACAAAATAGCAGAAGGGTACCAGGTCTTTGAAAGTGCTCACATAGACATTGAGACCTCATAAGTCAGTAGATGGCATAGTTAAGAAATAAAGCCAGGTATTGAACTCATAAGCCCAGACAATTTCTGGTGTTTTCCAGGAACTGGCTTCCCCCATGCCACTCTTACTGCTAGTTCCCAAAGCCAAGTCTGGTAACCTCTATGCACTGGGAGAGG